AGTGCTAACAGCAAGAAGGTCGATGGGTCGCTGGTTCGAGCCTCGGCTCAATTGGCGTTTCTGTGTGGAGTTTGCTTGTTCTCCCTGCGTTCGCGTGGGTTTCCGGGTGCTCCGGTTTCCCCCACAGTTCAAAGACATGCAGGTGAATTGGGTAGGCTAAATGGTCCGTAGTGTATGAGTGTGTGTGTGAATGTGTGTGGATGTTTCCCAGAAATGGGTTGCGGCAGGAAGGACATCCACAGCGTAAAATCTTGCTGGATAAGTTGGTGGTTCGTTCCGCTGTGGCGATCCCGGATTAATAAAGGGACTAAGCCGACAAGAAAATGAATGAAAAAAATGTACTTAAAAGTTTTAAGCCGACCTCTCTGTCTCAAGTGGGTGGCCACATATTTCAAATTTAAATCTTTACAAAACACATGTTGTATATTTTGACATTGTTTTGCATTAAATGTCATATTTTGACAAAAATGTATGAAACTCACATAAACCCAATTCAATTATGTATTGCATTTCAAAGCATCTATGAATTGCAAACATCCATCAGGATAAAGTATCTTTCACATTTATTCTCAAATAGACATAGACAGTTAAAGGGATAGTTCACAGAAAAAAGAAAATTGTATCATCATTCACACACCCTCCACTGCTTCCAAACTTGCCAGTATTTCTTTCTTCTGATGTACCCAAAGGAATATATACAGAAGAATTCTGGAGAAAATAATCAGCCACTGATTTACATTGTACTTTTGTTCCTACTATGGATTTCTTTTTTTTTTTCAGAGAAGAAGAATAGAAGAAAGATATACATAAAAGTGAGGTAATGTAAGGATAATTAAGCTTTTAATTGCTCTATAAGATTACTTTACTTTTATTGTTCTTAACAATTTGTTGTTTTTAAAGCAGAATAACTGATTGTGTTACTAAGCTCTTACAGGTTACAGGCGAACCATACTTTTAAACTTTGAATTAGGTGGCACAATCACTTGACATGTTTACAACACACATTTTATAAAGTGTTATGTTGACTCAAAACCCCACCACCCCCATAACCACCCCTCTCTCTCTCTCTCTCTCTGTCTCTCTCACATTTCACATTTTCACATTTTAGGTGCTTTATTGGCATGACAAATAACTGTACATTCGTATTGCCAAAGCAGTGCAGCGTCGCTGCGTACAGACAAGACAGTGCAAAAAGGGCAGTAGTGCAAACAAATATGAACATAAAATATAATATAGAAATAAAGAAAAGAAATGTAAAAAAATAAAAATAGATTAATAAAAACAACAGTATATCAGTAAAACTAAAAAATATTAATAAAAATAAAAATAGATTAATGATAATTTGTGAAACAGGATGAAAGTGGTGACAATAATATCAACAGTAAGTCCACGAGTAAAGAGTTCCTGTGTTGTGTGTTGGAGACAGTGGAGCGGATCATTGTGGGTTCCTCAGACGGTGGCAGGAGTGCACAAACTGAGCTGCTAACACAGCAGCAGCACACACACTCCCCCAGGAGGATGGGCAGTTTCTCATTGTTCGGCAGGGACTCAAAGTTTTTGTGTGTGTGTGTGAGTTTCGGGTAGAACTTCTCCCGGATCTCTGAGTATTTTGTGCACTCCTTAAGGAAGTGCAGTTCTGTTTCAATCGGCTGCTGAGGGCAGTGTGGGCACAGCCGCTCCTCCACCGGCAGCCATGTTTGTCTGTGCCGGCCCGTCTCTATAGCCAGCTGGTGTCCGCTGAGTCTGTATCTGCTCAGGGTGTTCCTCAGACCTTTATCTGTCACTGTGTGAAGATAGTCTGCCAGAGTATATTGTCTCTTCAGGGCCAGATAACACTGCATTTTGCTTTGCAGTTGTGTTTGAGTGTCCCAGTGGTGTGTGTAGCTGTTCTTGATCTGGTGTGTGATCTGAGTCAGTGGCAGGAGTGTGTTCAGCTCCTCAGGAGACGTCTCAGAGACCCTGAAGCTCTGGGCCAGCTGGGAGAGTGGGTCTGCTCTTCTGCTCAGTTCTCTGTCCTGCAGGGCTTTATAGTGGTATGAGTCCGGGTCGCTGAGTTTTAAGTGCTTCCAGAATTTGACAGCTCTTTTCTGTATCTTTATTATCAGAGGGTATTTGCCTAATTCTGCTCTGCATCCGTTGTTTGTTGTGTGCCGGTGGACGTGTAGGATGTTCTTACACAGCTCTGTGTGCAGGGTTTCTATAGGGTGTTTGTCCCATTTGGCCAGATCTTGTTCAGGGTTTGTCAGTGGGCCCCACACCTCACTGCCGTAGAGGGCGATGGGCTCGATGACGGACTCTATAGGATCTTCAGCCAGATCTGAACAGGGATGTCTATGGGACATTGACGCTTGATGGCGTAGAAGGCTCTGCGGGCTTTATCTCTCAGATATCTCTCTTTATCTCTCTCTCTCTCTCTCTCTCTCTCTCTCTTATTTCACTTTTTTTTCACATTTTAGGTGCTTTATTGGCATGACAAATAACTGTACTTTCGTATTGCCAAAGCAGTGCAGCGTCGCTGCGTACACAAATGGTAATTTGTGAAACAGGATAAAAGTTGTGACAATAATATAAACAGTAAGTCCACGAGTAAAGAGTTCCAGTTGTGTGTTGTAGACAGTGGAGCAGAATCTCTCTCTCTCTCTCTCACACACACACACACACACACACACACACTGTTTTCCCTTTTTCACTTCTCCATGTTCTCTGATTGGTCAGACAGGCTGTGTTTGAGGCTGGATATGATCCTTCAATGTATCTAGACCACAAATAGGCTGAAGAATGGTGTGGAACCGCACAGTGTTCATTCTCTTCAAACCACAGACAGGAAAATGCTCTATAAGTACAGCACTGTCTGTGCATCATCTAACAATAATATTTCTATGAAAAGTATCCTTGATGATTATCACATTCATGCCAGATACGCCCAGGAATCTGGTATGGCTGAACATTGTTTCTGAATATATTAAACTATGGTCAGACTGCTTTTCACAAAACACTTGAATGTAATTCTGCTACTGTATATATATATTCATTTTTTTTTTCTTTCAGCTAAATCTCTGTTTCAGGGCTCACTACAGCTGAATGAACCACCAACTATTCCAGTATGTGTTTTATGTCGTGGATGCTGGTTGGGATTGGGTTGCCGCAACCCAGTTGGGATTGGGAAATACACACTCATTCACACACACACACACACAATCATACACTACAGACAATTTAGTTTATTCATTTTACTTATAGTGCTTGGACTGTGGGGGGAAACAGAGCACCCAGAGAAAATCCATGCAAACACAGAGAGAACATGCAAATTCCACAGAATTGCCAACTGGACTTGAACCAGCGACCTTTTTGCTGTGAGGCAATAGTGCTAACCACTGAGCCACCGTGCCCCATATCGCTTTCTTTTACATATATGGAAATTCATACTATAATCGCAAAACTGTTTAAAACATATAAAAGATTTGTTGACTGTCCTATTATCTTTTCATCTCAATTATTATCACAGAAGGCAAAAATTGTGTCAAAATAAAAAGTACTCTTGAATTATATTTTTTATCAATTTATTGCAAGTGTATCTTATTTTATTGTTTATTTAAATAGCAATTAAGGAACCTTGACAATAGATTTGTTTTATTTCTAAATGTTTTGTTTATTTCCAAAAGGTGGGAGGATTTACTGTAATAATCAAGAAGGTTGATTAGAAAGGTTGATTGAAGGTAATTTCTCAACAACTCATGTTAAAACATGTTTTCTACTGAATGAATCACGGCGTAATTATTTTAGCAGAAACCAATTAATTGTACATTTAAACATTTAAACGTTTATAATTCGCGTCAAAAAAAAAAAAAAAAACATGAACAATATTAGTTGTCCCATATAAAGTTTAAACTCAGGAAAAATACACGACCTATTAAAAAACAAACCGAAATTGAATCTAATAAATTACTGATGAGCAATCCTGATAATAAATTGAAGATACAGTTGGTGTCTTTTTTCACTGGCCTGCGGACAAGAATCGTAAATAGTCATGCGTAATTTACAACCAAAGAGATGCATTTTCATGCATTCACTTTTATAGATGAGAAAATTATGATATTCTAACCATTTATTAATTGTAAATTCTACCTCCCTTTGATTGACAGATCCTCATTTGAACGTTTTGTTTTCATTTCTTATAATTATGAAAAAAAACAGGCCTACATTTACACCGCGAACGTCTGTGAGTGTGGTAAATGTGGTAGAAAAAGCAGTCGAGAATGATGGTTTTGGAATCATTACAGCCTTCAGAAGGTTTAATAAATCACTGTTCAAATTATGAGACAAATTCTGTTCCTAAGCCACATTTATTTATTCAGAGATATTTGTGTGTGTGTGCGTGCTTGTGTGTGTCTGTGTAGCAGCTACTCATTCTATTTAAAATGCTAAAGTTATATTAAATCTAATTTGTGAAAAAAAATAGAAAGAATTATGCTAGAAAATTATACATAATGATTGTGATGAAATATTGCAATCTACTGCGTGTTTTAATATTACTTCCAAAGTAGCTATCAACCTCGTTTTAAACATTATTTAAGTTGCCAAGATTGCGCAAAAAATCTAAACCATGTAGACCAAAAATGTGAAGCAAAAAAGTTGAGTTTTTTGTGAAATAAAAGTGCAATAGGCTCTTAAAAAAACTTATGAGCATTGATGAAACGCTTAATATACATTCCCTTATAGTGGGAAAAACAATCACTATTTTTCACTTATAAAAACTGTCTTTCTATGGCACGGCAGAAAATGACAATACCAAAATATCTGAAAGCATATTTTGAACAAATGTGTGAACAAATTTGACTCTTGCTCTATTAAAGGCATTTGGTCCTTAACCTATTAGGCTATGATGCGCATATAGTCTACCAATAGCCTACTGGCATCCCAAACATCAGGCTGAATTTTAACTAGATTAATTAATCTCAGAACACATAACGACACATACATCCACTGTAGATGCCACTCACCGTAGCATGAGATCAGCGCGCCGTCCTCCAGTTTGCTGTCTTCAGAAGGAGATTTGCACGCGGGTCTCTGCATAAAAAGGTGATATTTGCTATAAGCGCCCTCGGCTGTGCTATCATCCAGTGTCGGACAATCCTGATGGAATGGACTCCGCGGCTTCTCCCCATAAGTCTGGCCTTTGGCGGGCAAGAAAGTGGGACTGTATTTGGAGTCGCTCGACTGGAAAGTTCTGTAAGGATTGGCCTGTTGGACTCTCCCTTGCCCTGGTGCTGCTGGCGAATAATATGAGTCCATGGAGGTCATGTCGCAGTATGAGACGCACGTATCTGCGTTCATACCGACAAAACAAGAAGCAAAAATATCCTAACTTTTTCCGTAAATCTAAACGTCACCCTCGCTCTAGTCTCCCCTCATTCAGAGATGGCCATGCACTTTCTCACACACCCACACCAAGGCGACAGCTGGAGTTGGTTAAAATGATTCAGATGTTTTCCAGAGAATAGGCAAAGGCTAGAAAGCGTCTTTAAGGTTAAGAAGAGAGAGGAGGAGAGAGAGTAAAAGGAGGATGCTGTCCTGATGTCCACTAGAGTCGGAGGTCCTGTCATGATAAGAGGTCAGATCGCGGAGCACAGGAACTTTTCCGCCTCAACAACTCGTGAGAAACACAACGCGTGACATTAATTCAATTAGAGTCACAACTGATAGAATATGCGGACAAATAAATCCAACAAACGTCGTGCGACGTAGCTAGATAAGCTCCACAAAATCATTTCAACATGAAAATAGCTTTGGTAGGCCTATATGTTTTACGGCAAAGGTCAAACTAATAAGTTTGTCAAAATAAGTATTAATAGCAAAATGTATTTTTCCTAATTTTATATGCATACCGTTGCAATATTGAAATCTCTTCCTAATTCTCACGCTCTGATATCAAATATGGACATCATTTAGTAGCCTATTGATGGTTAGGTTGAAGATATCTTGAGAAAAGCAAACAAAAGAAAAGACCTAATCTGGAAGTGATGCAGCTTGTTTTAGATAATACACTCTTAAAAAGCAATGGCTTTTAAACACAGTTTTTGTAGTAATTTACATTTACATTTAGTCATTTAGCAGACGCTTTTATCCAAAGCGACTTACAAATGACGAAAAGGAAGCAATTTACGCAACTACAAGAGCAACAATGAATAAGTGCAGTAGGCAAGTTTCAGGTATGTAAAGAAGGTGTAAAAAGCAAAACATTAGTATTTTTTTTTTTTTTTTTTTTTGTGGTAGTTAGTGGAGGAATGGCATTTGGAGAATCATTTTTGATTTAGAAATGATTCTTTCAGTGATTAGAATCAACAATTTTCTTAGTAGGACATTTTCATAAATAACTTTCACTATAAAAAACCTTTTCTGAAATTAAATTGACCTACAAAGAGGCTGCATTTGAAATTTCACAGTGTATTAAAAAGCCCACTTGATTTAAACAATTTCTTTGCAGCCACCACAATTATACATACTGTAAATAAATTTAATGTGATTTTATTTATTCCTTGTTGTCGCTGTGTCACTTTGGTACTTTATATCTTTGTCTTATATAAATATATTTGTCAAATATATTTGTCTTTTTTAATTCAGAGAGGCCTACTTTTTTATGGCCTGCTGTTTTTCACACACATATATATATATATATATATATATATATATATATATATATATATATATATATATTTTTTTTTTTTTTTTTTTTTTTTTTAAATAAATAAATTAGATACATTGTAAAAGTCTGAGTTCGGGCAAAATACTATTTGCTAAAACGAGAAAAAAAACTTACAGTATAAGCAGAGATGGCAAAAATACACACATCTTTTAGTCAAGTAGAAGTACAGATACTCATGTTTAAAATGACTATTAAAAGTTGAAGTACTGATTACACTTTTGTACTCCAGTAAAAATAAAAAAGTACAGCCTCAAAAATTTACTTAAGTAAAAAGTATCCATTTTAGTTTCAGGCTGATAACTAGACCTTACATCATATCGATCCATTCGTACAAAATAACATATATTTCAGATTTTGATGTACAAATTGTTGCAAATTTTCTGCAGGAAAGTAAAGCAACATCAGACTCTGCAATAACAATATAAATTACAATAATGAGGCCTATATCTTTACAAAAAATAAATATCTTCAATTAGCGCTTAATTTTGTCCAAAACATTTGTTTTTCTTAAATATATAATACATTTTACTGACTTATTTTATCTTTGCCATGGTGTCATTATGTAATATTTTGTTACATGTTTTTCAAGATGCTAGTATTTAGCTTAAAGTGCAATTTAAAGGCTTAAGGGTAATTAGGTAACTAGGCAAGTTAGGGTAATTAGGCAAGTTACTGTATAACAATGATTGGTAACAATTTATTTTGATGTTCCATTTGAGTATTAGTAGACTGTCTGCTTAATATATTCATACTGCTCCTTCAACAGGCATTTCTCACGAGAAAACGTAAGTATTTTACGTTTTGCCAGTTTAGTGGCTAATTCGTACGAATTCGTACGAGTTCAGTCGTACGAAATGGTACGATTTTAAAAAGTAGGCGTGGCACCTGACCCCACCCCTAACCCCAACTGTCATTGGGGGACAAGCAAATCGTACTAAATTGTACGAATTAGATCGTACGAATTCATACGAATTAGCCACTAAATGAAAAAGTTACGAATTGCTGTGAGATTGTGTTGTGGTTGGCATGTAGATACAATGTAACTTAATTCAACAAATGGATCATCAAAATAAAGTGTGAGTCAATGATTTGTAGCCAGTTGAAATAAAAAAAATACTGTAAAAATGGGAAAGAAAGGAGCAATAATATTGTTTTCTAAAAATGTTAAACTGCTTTTATTCTAGCCAACATAAAAAGAAATTAGACCTTTCCAGAAGAAAATAACATAGGAAATATTTTTAAACATTCCTTGCACTGTTAAACATCATTTGGGAAATATTTAAAAAATGAAAAAATCATATAGGAGAACTAATCCTTTTGACTTGAACTATACATGGAAAAGGCTTGTTTTGATGTGTAATTTTTCAGCAGGCTCTCAAGCTAATTGTCAAAACAAGCAATAAGATGAGATTTAATATAGAGTAAGATCTATTGAATTGACAGTTAAATGAATTGACAATGTTTTCCACAAAACTAAACAATAACCTAAAATATGTGTACATTATATCATCAAATTTTCCCCATTTACAAAATTATTTGTTTGTGTCACAGTCTGATGACCAAATTTCCATCAACAATTGTTTGTTCTGTCTATCTAATTACATCGTTGACCTTCATCTCTAGCTCCAGAAATAGCAGGAGGATTTAAAAAAGGATAGATCAAATTTAGACCTATAACCCTTCAATCCCATAGCCTAAATTGATAATTGCAAGACTGCTGGATGAGAATTTGGAAAAGTGGCTAAAACAGCTCACTTTTGTGGTGATATCATTAATGGCATGTCTGTCTGTTTTCCAAATCACACATTTATTTTTAATGAACACCTAAACATGATACAGATCTAACACTCTCAGAGTCTCAAGATCTACAAAAGTCACAATGGTTTTTGCAAACAATTCTCAGTTATTATTTTCAAATGCAAAATGTATTAAGTATAATGATGACAAAAACAAAAGGTCACATTACAAAAAAAAAAAAAAAAAAAGCTAGTCTTGTGCAGGGGTATGGCGGTCTCAGAGAGATCTTTAATAGACTTCACATGAGTTGGGTACAGACTCTGTCATCTGATGGCTGATTGAATTAAGTACTATAGGCCTAGTTCTACTGATCTCTAATTGAATAACCGAGTGAAAAGAGCCAAAAGTGCACAGTCTTTGTCTGTTTTTAAAAACAGTGATGCTTTCTCAATATCTGTTGGAAAATTTAGTGTTTCTTTAGACAGCCATTATATTTTGCTCTGAATGTTTTAAAGGTGTTATAGAATAAAAAATCTGGATATACAGATGCATAGCTCCAAGCAGTACATGGAAATGACTATCATGACACCATGAGAACATTGTTGTCTAAATCCCATGAGTACAAAATGAAAAACAGCCCAATCAGAACAACTCACAGACTCTGACATTCCACACATGATCATAGAAATGCACACATCAGGCATTTGATTGGCTGCAATGTTTCCTAGTGAGATTACAACAGATATAATTCATCACCTTGGAATTTTAAGGTTCTATCTGGTTCTGAATAATTTTGAGATATTGAGCTTCAAAGTTTTTGCATTCTATAGCAAACAGTGTAAATTTTTTTTTTTTTTTTTTAAATAAGAAGTCTTAAAATCTAAACAAGTTATAAATCATCCTATAATGTAAATAAGTTGTCATTAAATATGAATATGTCAATAGCTCAATTTTGAGTTATATAAGGATGGAACCATATAATTCTAAGGTGATGATTATCAAAACTTGTATTATACTTAAATGCATGTAGTCTTATTTTAAAATGGGACAGTGTTTAAGAAGAATAAAGGAGCATTTTTTTTAATTGTTCACTGCTAGCCAGAACCCAAAATGCAGAATATACATATCATAAATTTATTCAGTGCCCAATGCATCTCTAGTGCAGGAGAAATCATAAATCTGCTATTATGCATTGTGGAAAACCGCACTGTAATCATAATGAAACCACAGTTAAGAGAAAAGCTATTTAACTATACTTTGCTTAGGCCCAATCCCAATCCTTAGTCCTTCCCCTTACCCCTACCCCTCATTTTGCGCGTTCCCGTAAAGGGGTAGGGGTGTCCCAATTCTCTTTAGCTTGAAGGCGAAGCACAAAGGGGAAGGGGTAGATGGCCCTTCGAACTGAGATTTTTCAGGACCACACTCGAAACCAAGGGGTAAGAAAATTACCCAGAATACACCAGCCACAATGGCTGGATAGTTGCACCCAGAAGTAAGGAGATCCACAAACTAGTATTTTTTTGTCATTATTACGAATTTTTACAACGAACAAACACATGTTTTAATATATTTATAAAAAACAGAAATGTGCGCACATCTAGAAAAATCTTGAAGGCAGGTGCACGATCAAAAAACAAACATAAGTAGCAAAAGATTCAAAGTAAATCGGCACACTGCCACTTAAGCTCTCAAAAAAATTTTAATGTCAAAATTACTAAATCACAACGTTTCGACCTGATGAAGACCATGTCGGTCGAAACGTTGTGATTTTGTAATTTTGACATAAAATTTTTTTTGAGAGCTAAAGTGGCAGTGTGCCGATTTACTTTGAATCTTTTGCTACTTAATATATTTATAACCACATTCGTGTTTTACCGTCATTTTAAAAAATTATAAACGCTAAAATTAAAACCGCTAAATTTCGCGATCTACTGTATAATACATAATCATAACTCCTGTATAGCAGTCCCACAACATTCCGAAACTCGATGACATTCATATACCCTGTCAGAAAAGTCTAGTGGCTTTTAACAGTAGCCCCTTTCACACAGTGATACCGGTAAATATCTGGAAAATTTCCGGAACGACTTTACCGGTATTTTCAAAAAAGCGCTGTTCACACAGGCGAGGACGTTACGGAAATTTTCCGGAAAAGAGCATTCACAC